ATAATTTCAACATGAATTTAAATAAAAATATTGAAAGTAAAACTAATACTTTTTTTAATTTACTTATTGTAAATTTAATGATTTAATTAATTACAATATTTTTTACACCTTAAAGTAAAACATTTGAAGTGGTGTAACCATTCTGAAACCAACAACTAAATAAATAAAAGCTACTAGGCTGAAATCCTTTGGAAAAACCTTTAAAGTTTGGAATAATTTTTTATTCTTATTATGAATATTTGACACTGATTGGTCAATTGCTGCATTTTGTGGTTGTGCAAGTACATTTAATTCTATATTTGACCACTATCCCTGCAAGCCAGTCCCAATCAGTAGGTAGAAATTCCCTGCTGAATGTGATTGTTGCAGTAAGAAATACCCCTTCTGCTCATTTCCAAAGATTTGCATAGCAGCGAGGGACCACTCAGTGCCATTTTATGTTGGTGTTGGCATTTTCCAGTCTGCTTGGCCTAAAAGTGTGTATTTTAATGACTGTGTTGTTACCCACCACTGTTTAGTGACCAAAAGCTCTTATAGAGAGACAGGAAGCAGACAATCATAACCGGTGTCTGCTGTTCACATATATATTTTGTAACGTGATGCACATACAAATATAGGGTAAACATTTTTAATTCTGAGGACTTTTTTTAAGTGCCTTTTGGAAAAGCCTTGATGATGAGAGTGTACTTATGATGCCAAAAAGTCAGTCTAAAATAAAAATAAATATAAATATATGCATACATGCTTTGGACCAACTTATTAAAATTTTGTTAAAGCCATTTTTTTTTTCAAATCATATTTATTGTTTGGTTCAAACCTTACATTTTGATTTAATATTAATATTTTAATTGATTATTATTTTTTAAAAAATGCATCTTATTTAAAGGACATGGCCATTTCACTTTTTTCAGCTTGGAACAGATCTAAAGACTCATTTCATAACTGAACATATTCCAGTGGGATGGTTGTGTATGTAGTTAATTTACTCTAATTAGCAATGGCTAGTTACTCCTCTGACGCTCTTCAGGACAGAATAATATCCTGAACGTTCCTTCATCAGATATTATAACCACATTCGGTTTTGGTTTCTGATTCTGCAAAGCCAAATTGCTTACAAAGGGAGACAAAAGATTGATCGCTTTCGATATGTAAATCCCCCAGAGCTAAAACACAAGTTTTCTGCAAGAGCCTTCACCACAACAGTCAAAGCAGATCATAAATAATTCATTATTCATCCAGCTGAATGAGTTCCCTCAAAAGTAATACAAGAAGAAATATGTCTACAATTTTCTTGCATATGAAAGTAATTTTGAGGCAATGAAGGTATAGATTGTTTGGTGAGGTGCTGTGTTTACCTATTCTTCCCATCAATCACACAGAGACAGACAGAGATACTGAAAGCTCCCATAAGAGAGACAGAAAACAATAAGAATGAGGCAGAACAGCCGAGCCAGTGGGAAGATGGGAAAATGGATCTTCTCTGTGTTCTAGAATGTTGGGAAACTGAATCGAGGAGTATCTGGCTATTCCATCTCTGTTCAAAATGAATTATTAGCACACAACATTTGCGGGGAATCTCACGGACTGCCATTCTCCAAGTCAGGAACCCGCTGAGAGCAGACCAACAGGACTGTGAAGTACCCAATCCCCTGGTTCCAAATCACATCCAGAGGATGAAGATGGACTGTAACACTGAATTTGATTTCTCCGGGGCAGGAGCGCACTTTTTCTCTGCTATTCATAGGTCAAGCTTTGCACATTTCCAGCCAGAATGAATATTTCCTACATCCCATAATATGATCCATCTGAAAGTGGTTTAAAAGCGATGGGCAGTGTGTGTAAATGAGACGGGAGCGCTTCATCACTCCAGTCAGCTCTATGAGCCCTAGAACCCATTCAGACCTAATTTATGACTCCCTCTGTTCTTTTATAAGAGACATTCATCCACCTGCTTCACCAGCCCATCCACCATTTACCAATGCAGACGCCCTCATCCTCATCCTCATCCTCACAGAGCGAGAGAGAGAGAGAGAGAGAGAGAGGGATGGTTAATGGTGGTCCGGGCGAGACTAAAGCCCGACCGCTGCTTCTGAACTGTTCAGCATTCACGACTGTCTGCTGCTTCAATTTTGCAGAAGCACGAGGAGGAGAAGAGATGCCACACAGAGCAAAAGACACACAGAGAGAGAGAATGAAATGAGCTTCAGTGAACAGAGAAAGACAGACAGCAGATGAAAGAGGAGAGCTGGATCACTGGCAGATGTGTAAGGTTGTTTCTCCTATGAAAACTATGAAGTAATGAAAGGGAAAAAAGAGAAAAGAAAGCATAAATAAATAAATAAAACTATGATTAAACTGATTAATACAAGAAAAAGCTGAAAGAAAACAACAACAATAATAATAAAACACTGTCAAATTGAATCAGTTAAAACGACAAAAATTTGAAAAGAATACATAATAAATAACAAAAAAACAACAACAACAGTAAAATGTAATAATTTTATTTTAAATTATTAATGAATACAATAATAAGTTCAAAGAAAATAAATTAATTAATGAATTAACATGTTAAAATTAAATTATTTAATCATTTTATGTTTCTCTCTGCTTTCTACACACTGGTCAGAAATTATGAAATTAGTCACAAATTTGTGTTCTGTTTTATTTTCATAAAAGATCAAATATACTGTGCATAAAAGATCAACATAAACCATTCAAAAAATACTTTAAAAAGATATTTTAAAAAGTCATAGTAAGTAAATACTGATATTTAGATATTCCATTTATTCCCCAACTATGTCTTGATTTATTGCTTAACTAAGATTCAGACAGAATTGATTGAAATGTTTCCTTGCTGTTGCATTTAAAAGTAAACTGATGTTGCTAATAATACAACAGATTTATCATAGTATATATTGCACAAAACCAAACACACTAATTACAGTTAGAGCCAGTTGAAGATAAATGGACACATACATGTGCATTAAACACGTTAGTCTACTGGTCTTACATGTATTTGCACTATGATATAAAGCTTGCATGCGCAGATGTTAAATCTGTAAATGAAGCATTAAATGTGTAGCTCTGCAGAAAACATGACCAGATTGCGCTTCCAGCCACTGATAGCAACATTAAAGCACAACAACAAAAATAACCCCGAAAACAACTCTGAAACTGTCAGATTTTTTGACAGCATCTCAGGCGTAAAGAAATGAAATGAGTTTTGAAAAGTGATTTATGTGGATCTGGAAGGTGAGGAATCAGTACTTGTGTCTTACAGCTCTGAAACTGTGTGAACTCACATGTTAAAGGAGGAGGGATTTGTACCTTTAACTCATTTAGATTTATTCATTTACAGATTGACTCTCACTGGATTCAAAACTGCAGCTTGTTTGTTCACTGCCCAGATCCTTTAACCACATTACAGGATGTAGTTTCATGTAGCAGCCTTATGGTGTCCACAAAATGATTAATACTCTCTAATAATACATAAAGAGATCTGCTGTTCACTCCAGAGGCGGTCTGATTGCTAGACGGACACAGGAAGAGATTCAGAGAACTTAAAAACACTTCAGCTGGAGCAGACGACCATGTGACTATAAACAAACAGCAAAATAAAAGCCTCATGCTGTTCACCTACATCAACACGTCTATATAATATCAGATATATGTGCTTTAATGCAGTGGATGCGTTTCTGTACACCGGTTTAACACAGAGAATGATTCTGAAACTTCTGATTTTGAATGTTTCAGATATGAAATTAATTTCTGTCATGAACACGTTTAATCACTTGACTGATTGTGATGCTTTCACCTCAAGCATGATGGCAGCGCGCGGCATGACAACAAGCTGTTGTAGCTCTAAAGATAAGAAACAAGTGTAAACCGACACAGATGCATAATCTCCCAAACGCTCGTAGCAAAAACATACGAGATACTCAGAACAGCCTGAGGGGGCTTGAGAACTGAACATTCGCTGAGATATTCAAGTGTTAAATAGTAACAGTAAGTGTTAAACATATTCATAACACATTAGGAGTAAGATGTACATGCGTGTGAAATCATCTGTGACCACAAAGAGAAAAGATGAAAGAAAACTATTGACTTACATTGAGACCTCTCTGGAATAGCGGCTGTCCCATGACGTTAGCCAGCATACGGATCAGCGCGGCTCCCTGCAGACACACCAGAAAACACACACATTCAATAAAAGCTGCACATTTACACCTGCTCTACACACAAATATATCCGCAAAATATACATAGTATGAAGTTATAGTAAACCGCTTGCAATGGACGTCAATGGGGCATGACATTCTGTAAGCTTGTATTTTATTAAATATGTGTCATTTGATGGACAGTTGTCAAAAACATAATTCTAGTCTTGGGACTGAACTTCTGGTTATGAGCTACTGAATTTATTCAGTGTTATTTTAGTATTACTTGCATACTATTACAGTATTTATTAATATTTTTAATTAGCTTTCAAAATGGTTTGCATTTCTATATTTAGAAATTTTATATTTCTGTTTAGCTTTATTAATTTGTATTTCAGTTTTAGTATGATTTCAAAAGTTGTAAAGTTGTAAGTTTTCTAAATTTAAATTCTACAATTTAAATTCCATTCTTTACATTATAATTAGTTTTTAACCGTTTTAGTTTTGGTTAGCAATAACAACACTGGATTTAATTTATAAATAATGAAATGAAATGAAATTGACATATTAACATGCTTGTACATAGCATAAAATGTTACAATAACACAATATTACACAACGTCACAAACAATATTTAATAAAATTCAGTTATTTATTTATGGCCCTGCTCTTTTTCTAGCAGGTTTTTTTTTTCTACAGTTTTCGTTTTTTAAGGTTTGTCTAAACAAGGACTCCATGAAACTCATCCTGCTGTTTTCTGCAGTTTCATAAATTTGTATCTTTTTGACTTTGAGTGACTTTGACATGCTCATTTGACAGCATCTACTTCCCCTCTCTCCACATCCCATCCTCCACAGTCTGTGTGATGAGTGTCTCTTCCTGTTAGCACTGAGGACTTATGGGATGTGTTGTGGGATATCAGCGTGCTTAGAGTGTGAGGAGGAATTGATGAGGGACAGCTGGGTGTCAGGATCACTGCAGTGTGACTGACAGAGTTCATAACACCACAGAGCCTGCAGGGAACAGAGGGAGGGGCTTGAGGAACAGCAAAAGCCAATCAGAAACCGGCTTTGTGCTGATTGACAGCTGGAGGGAGAGTTAAAGCAGAAACTCAAATCTTCAGTGAATGGAAGATTGTATCTGCATTTGAACTCTGATAAGAGGACAAAAAATTCTCTTTACTTATCTTTGTGCCTTTAATGGCTTTCAGATGTTCAGGATGAGAGGATATATTTGGGCGCAGGAGTTATTTAAAGTCTGTTCCAGTGAGAAAGAGGTAATTAGATGTCGTCTGGTCTGAGATGAAATGTTTATTGTGCCACTAAAGTCCCCAGACGACACAAAACCTTACAATCTCACAGTGTTACAGTTTCAGTCCTCAACAAAGCTTTTAATTAAACTGTTTTTCTTGTGTATGTGAAGAGGCTTATAACAATGCAGAGAAGTCTTTAGCTGGGAAAAATAACGAGCAAAAGGAGGTGTTTACTGGACTTAATAAAAGATCAAGTTTAGCGGTGAAGTGAAGTCCTGACATAAATAAAAGACTGATTTACACCGACGATACTGCTTTTTTACAAAGTCATTGTTTCTCTTCTGCTGGCTGCTCATATGAAAGAGTAGTGAAATGTGGAATTTCATTGAAATTTATTTATGTTCAATTTTGAGTATAAACCAGTTCATTCAGCTCTGCTCAATAGCAAAGGTTTATAATCATTTCCTGTAGGAGCTGATGAGCTTCTCTTACCTTCTTATACGCAATCCAGTCAAACACTCTGTCGATGTCTGTGGCTTCAAACACTTCCTGAGAGATTGGATGAGAACTGGCCAAACCGTCCAGTAACATCACCTCATGAAGAACATCAGTCAGAAACCTCTGCTTCTCCTGTGGATGACAGACAGAAAGAGACTTTATTCTTTTTTACAGTGTCAAACACATAAGTGTCACATAAAAGCCTTGGTTTTATTTTCATAAGTAAAAATCTTTGAGCTGCTCTATAAATGAAATTAGAAAGTGGTTAGAAATTAAAAAGTTATATATTTCTCATCTGAGGGACCTTATATATGAATGCTTAGATAGGTGTCGTATTCCCATAGGTTGATGGGAGCGAGCTTGACTAACGTAAGCTGCCAGAACTAACGCTACGCTAGATTTCTCACATCTGAAACTTTTATATCTGCAGCAGCTTCCCACAATGTCGTTCTGGAGCACATGAAGAAGATGTTACTCTGATACTAGGTTATTTCCTATTTTAAGGAAGTCTGAACTGATGTTTTTTTTTTTTAATAATGTAATGAGAAAATAAACCACAATGAGGCAATTAAATAAAAAATACCATAGCACTATACTATTTTTCCTCTGAATTACCTTTGTGTATAATGTAAATATACAAACAACATATTACACAGAATAATCACAGAAACATAATGTCTATTAAATGTTTAAATTTACTAATAAACACTTGCTCCAGTTTTATTGAACAACTTCTATTTTCAAAAGATGTCAAAATATAATAAACACATGATCAATGTAACAACACAAACTCTTATATATTTCAGTAAAATGTGCTTCTCCAGTGACACTGTTTTCCTGTTGCTCAATTTAAAAAGTGGCGGTTTGCCAGTTACCGTATATGAAAATGGATGAATCACATGAATTATATATGAAAACATTACACTGCAGGTTCATAACCAGAACATCTTCATAATGGAGCCTCTGGCAAAATCTCTGCACTGACTGACCAAATTCAAAATGACACTAAATTAAGTTTTTATTATTTTCTCATCCATGTATTTAATAAATGTGTGTGACTAAGAGAAAGCCAGCAAACTATCAGCTGCTATAAACATATCTGGGTTTAATACTTTGAATGCTTTATTACACCTTTATTCTCCATCATTATGAATAATTCTTGGCCATTAAAGCTTTTGGCAGCTTGATTAAAAATCCCATTGAAGACATTAATTTAAGAGAGCAGGATGTTTTAATCAAGAGATTTGAGCTCAAACAAACAACATACGGAAATTAATCAAGAAACAAATGTTCATCAGAATCATTCATAGTTTTATATCAGTATAAGAAGACATTTTCTACTAACCAACTCAATCCTGGTTACTTCCAGGATTAGAAATTATCGGGGGCTTGGGGGAAAATGCCTCCAAAATGAACAAAAAACCACACATATACATTTAATAAGGAAAATTTCCCTTTCAAAAGTCTCTGGAAATAAATTTCTGGGGACAAATATGGCCCCTTAATGGAAAGTTTCATTTCAAACATTGATCGCTTCATCAAAACGTCCATCTTATATTCTGACGTTCTGCTAAAAGCAGATTAATGAAATGACATTAGAAAAAAAAAAAGACTCAAATAAAAGTGAAAAGTCATACAAATCAATACAAAGAATACTTACGGAATCTGAGTTCCGAACTAAGATTGAGCTGTGACTTTTTATGATATTTGTAGATCAAAGTGTCTGCTGGACGGCTCTGACATTAATTTCTTTTTGATCAGCTAATGAAGGGTAAAATTTCCTTCAATCCAAGGTACAATTACCTTTAGATATTTGTGAAACATAAAAAACTGAAACATGTTTTGCCTAATGGACTGTTGCAATAATGTATCCCTCATATTTAACTTCAGAGAGAAGATCTTGGAGAAAGTACAGACTTCTTGAAATCAGTGTCCTAATTTCTCAAGCTATTTATATCATCACTTAAGTTGTCTTCTAGAAGATAACACTGTGTGACAGCTGACTTATTACCATCTGTCTTATATTCTGACGGGCAGTTACTTTATTATCCAGACTAATATGAGCCTCAAAGGTTAATATGCATACATACATGTAATCAATAGCAAATGAGGCCTTCAAATAAATTTACAACATTATGGTTAATGTGAATACAGAGAAACAGACGGAACGAGAAAGAAAGAGAACAGCTGTTGACGTAGAGCTGATTTGACTCAAGTCACGTAATGTGCACTATAAAATGAGTGCAATGAGAAGAGCTTCCATTTGGCCCATATGTGCTCTCAACAAGGTGTTTACGTCCAATGATACTTCATTTAGATCCTGCTTATTAACGTTTCAACCTCATCACCTGCTGTAAATGCACCTGACGTTTCACACTGATCAACCACTTTAAGGTCAGAGACAGCAGTGATGCCTGTCAGTGCCTTATGGGTAACCAAACCTCTCTGAAAGCATCTCTAGCATGATGGATGTGAGAAAGTGGAGGAAAACCAACAGTCCAGTAGTAATGAGCAGGTGAAGGAACCTATAGGCTGTTTTAATGACCTATTATAGGTCCGTGTCAAATCCATTCCCAACATTTCTCTGTGCATTTGTGAGTTTTCAGTTCTGGTTTAGACTGAAACATGCAATTTTATCCATATTTTGGTAGGGAAATGCTTACAGTCATCCTATCAGCGTACTGAAGTGTTTCCATCAAAACCCAATTTCTCCCTGAAATGACATTCCCTAAATGGTCTCTCTGCTTGGCTGATGCCCCATAACCAAGGTGGCTTGGATCAGAGAGGTATGAAATACTGGGACAGACGGATGGGAAGGTCATTATGGGAATGTAAATGAGAATGTGAAGGTATAAACTGAAAGTACACACATATCAAACAAGGGTGCTATATTTCATTTAACTTATTCAAATTGGAGAAATAAAAATAATTATATTTTTAACTAATAAAAAAAAAACAAATTTTAGTGCTTTAAACTGCTTTTAGCACTTAAACTTCGCATATATTGGGCATAAGTGTACACTATCTCCATTGTAAGACACATCATGTCATGACCAGCAACCCACAATAATCTTCACACAAGCTCACGATAAAACTCAAGTGACTCATAATGAGCAGAAGATCCAAACAGATTTAATCATCACGACTAAAATCATAGCAACGTGTAATAAGCATTGGAAGCCCTCAGTGTCATAAACGTTGGTAAATTGGGTTACGTTTTGTTGCGCTGATGACCTTTGTACTTTTTTCATTTTACGATTGAAGCTTCAAGTGCGTCACAGTAACTGCATTGCAGGCCACTAAAGCTGGACCGGAATAGCATTATGCTAATTGCTAACACCATTATGCTCAAACAAAAGCAGCTCTAGAGGGAGAACTGTTTGTCCTTGTATTATTTCATCAAGTTGCTTTATTCTTTAACAAACCTGAAAGTGGATTGTATTAAGTGATATGTAAACATTGAGCAGTTAACAAAAAAGAAAAAGTGTTTTATCATAATGTATGCTACATATACTAGATTAATTAAATTGACAATCATCAATACACTTAACATATCCAGATCCTAGTGAAGAGAAACACCTTCAGAAGAACTGCAGAATGGTAACTGTGGGACATTGGATCATATTTCTGAAAGAAAACGTTTTTTTAGAGGAAGAAGGTGGAAGTCCTGTTCTCATCGTGAATCTGTACTCCAGAAATTCCCATAAAAGATTAATAATGTTCAGATATGGTGACTGGAGAAGCCATGGAAGGTGTCTGGCTTCATCCTGGTGTTCACAAACACTCCTGGATTTGTTTGTCATCCTATAATGCAGGAATATCATGAGATGATGGTTTGGACGCACCTGGTCTGGTAAAATAACCTCATAATTCTTGGCCGTTAAACAGCCATTCAGAAAATCACTGAACCTATTGACTCCTGTGAGACGGCTGAGCATTGTGGATTGTAGCTAAGCCTTGTCTTTCACCAAACATGAACCCATCTGGATGTAGAAAATGAATGTGGATGACTCATTAGACCATGTGACTTTTTTTCATTGCTCTTTATTTATATTTTGTACTCTAGTTTTTGTCTGCTGGCCATGAATTCAAGTGTTTTTTTAAATGGCAGCTTTAGCACAAATTCCAGCTCTGTGAGGCTCTGCAGTAAATTAGTTCAGACTATCACAGAGGTGTGGCAATACTAATGTAGTTTGTCTTTTCCCACTAAATAAGTTTTGCACATTTTGTGACTAGCACAAGTAAGAGTATTCAGACATGTCAGAATGCAGTATGATCAAAAGCTCATCAATCTATCTGTGGCACTATTATTTCACAGCTCTCCTTTGATAATTGATCTGGAGATTACTAGACTAAAGTTTCATTACAACACAACAAAAGATGAAGGCATAAGCACCGGTTGCTCTGGCAATGAAGCAGGACTGAAATAGAGGCTATGTGATAGGTGAGCGTGATTTCACCAGGTACAACATGTTCCTGGAACAATCCAATACACTCCAAAGAGAAAGGAAAAAATGAAATCGCATCATATGACCCCTTTAACATGATGGTTTTCTGTTTATGAGCAAAATAAGGTTGGTGGTTAACATTGAAGAGACGTTCAGATTGTGTCCTACAAAATAAATTACACTCAGTCAAACTTGAATTTGTAGCCATTTGCAGTAGGTGTAGTCTTTGTTTAGCTACTAGTTAGTATGTAATATATGTTATCCCTTATGAAATTTAACCCTGGTTTTATTATAGTTAAAAGTGTAGTAACCATGTTTTTTTTGGTGCACTGATTACCACAGTTTTACTACAAATACCACGGTTAAACTATGGTTAGTGTAGCAAGACCATGGTTAATTTGTGGTTACCATGGTTACAATGTTTGTTAGTTTTTTTGTAGTAAAGCCATGGGTAATTTGAATAAAAGTCTCTTCAGTTATGTTAACCACAGACATAATTTTTCCTCATAAATCAAAAAACTATATATTTAAGTCCATATACTTAATACTTACTTAATGAACTTATTTGAATATTTGAAACTTGTTTTATCATTAAGGCAACAGGCTACTTAAAGTAATGAAGTGCCACAGTTGTGTTTTGGAGCTGGTTTTGCTAGTCACCCGTTGGTTGACCAGCTATCATTTTCCAGTAACTATTTTAACCACCATAAACTGGTATTACTGGTATTGGTGACCGTGATTTCACCAAGTACAACATGTTCCTGGATCAACATTTTGTTGATCCTGGAACAACATTCCAATCAACCAATCAGAATTGAGATATAACTTTTCTGGAAATATCTGTTTGCGGCTTAAAATCAGGGTTAGGTGCTTCTACACCCTTGTTAATCCGCTATCATTTCCCACTGATTTTAGGAATAAATTATGGGTAGGGTTAGGTTTAGGGGTAGGGATTGGGTTAAGTCTATATTTTTGGACAATAATGTTGATCCAGGATCATCAAAAGATGTTGATCCAGGAAGTGTGCTGCTGTGTGGGTACACCCTGTGTGTGTAACAAGTACAACATGTTCCTGGATCAACATTTTGTTGATCCTGGAACAACATTCCAATCAACCAATCAGAATTGAGATATAACTTTTCAGGAAATATCTGTTTTAGGCTTATGATCAGGGTTAGGTGCTTCTACACCCTTGTTAATCCGCTATCATTTCCCACTGATTTTAGGAATAAATTATGGGTAGGGTTAGGTTTAGGGGTAGGGATTGGGTTAAGTCTATATTTTTGGACAATAATGTTGATCCAGGATCATCAAAAGATGTTGATCCAGGAACATGTCTTACTTGGCAAAATCACGGCGACCGCGTGTGATAACACAGCTCAGCATATGATTATTTATGCTCATGAAGTCAAACTCAAACTGTGCTAATAATAACCATTAAAACAGTTGGAACAATTTGTTCTTTACAAGCTCATAATGAACCAGTCCATGCATGCCCCCATTTGGCACGCTAATTCACTACTGACAATAATATCAAACACACACATTTGTAAAACATTGTCATTTCAGCTAATTTTGGGTTCACAACTTTGAGAACACTCTACATATAAACTAAAAAGCTGTTACCCACAGAAACCATAACCAAATTTAAATCAATGTCAGGGTGTTGTGAACATTTAGCAGCCAAAACTTAACAGAGTATAGATACTAGTAACTCAAATCAACTGTGAAAGGGTTGTTGTTTTCTGCTTAGTTGAATCTTGGGCCAAAAATAAACGCTCAAGATCTCATGTGTGTGAAAAGCATTAAAGAATTGCTCTTATTTTAAGAGATTCAGACATCTGAACAGCTTGGAAACCATATACCTCTCACTATATAGCATATGACTATGTGTACATTATGATATATTTATCTTTTGTGATACAGAGTGCAGAATCCAAGTTATAGTTGATGCATTTAAGAAAAAAATAATTGACTATTACAGTGACTGCTTCTGATCTATAGAACATAATAACAACAACCAAAACTCACCATGTTCCACTTTGGAAAGAGGAAATCAGCCCCGATGTACTCGAAGTAATGCGCAAATCCTTCCTTCAGCCAAACGTCCTCCCACCAAACCGGTGTGACTAGATCTCCAAACCACTAGAAGAGAAGAAATGAACAATCAATCAACAACAGAAAAAAAACAGTGACCATTACAAAAGATTGATTTCATGTTCACTGGCGAAGAATTACAACAAACTTTTGTTGTTTTGTAATAAAAAAAGGGTTTATTGGTAAACTGAAACCAAACTTTATTTGGACAAAGCTTCAGGAAATATATCCACGCTCCTATTCATCCAATATCTGCAAAAACATATTACATCTATTGGCAAACACATTTTATTAGAAAAGTCCAATACAGCATAACAATAACCTGTGCTCTTTAGAAGTAAATGTACACATAAACACTTTTAATAAACAGTTGCACTCTGGTTCAACAGAAAAGTAGTTCACAAAAGGCTTCACAGAACATTGAGAACCCGGCAGAGCTTCTGAACTATGATTAATAGTGGCCTAAACATTCAATTACCTACAGTTACACAATTAAAACACATTTTTCAGTTTCACAGCATTCATACCTAGGAGCTTCGCCAAGGACACCGTAAATGAACAGAATAGAGAAAAATAAAGATTTGATTATGAAACATCCCATCTGGAATGTAGAAAGACTCCAAATGACCCCTGCCATTGTGTGCAGATGACAGTGTGCAAAACAAGGCTATTGACTGGAAAATGATTATAAAATATTCTTGCTATGTTTGAAGGAGACCCATTACGATTATGGGTACTAGGCTGCATTTAAAAAAAAAAAAGAGTTTTGAAGTATGTTTTGGCCCAAATGCCCCCTGTGGCATGCATTAGATATAGATATATCTAATGCATGCCATATCATAGCAGTAAACATTGTGGACAAATTTCATATTTTTAATTGTATATTTACCGGGTCAATCACACCCGAGAAATGAAAATGATATACAATTATGCAGCTTAGCATTTGCAATGCAATATTTGAGTTTTAAGAAAACTTTTAGCATTATTCTGCTTTAGCAACATTACCAAATCTACAATACAGTCAGTAGTATATGACTTATTACATTCTTTGACAGTAACACACCAAAAACTGGCAAAAATCATTGTATTGGCTAGAGAGTCCGACTTGTAACCCAAAGGACGCGAGTTGGATTCTCAGTCAGTACCGTCAGGAAATGTAGGTGAATGAACATCGCTCTCTTCCACCCTCATTACAAACTGAGGTGCCCTTGAGCAAGGCACCGAACCACAGCAAAATTTTGCCCACTGCTCCAGGTGTGTGTTCACTACTCACTGCTGTGTGTGTGCGCATTTGGATGGGTGAAATGCAGAGGACAAACTGGGTATGAGAGTATGGGTTACTATACTTGGCCTACACGTCTCATTGTCACTTAAGTAAAGAACAATAAATACATAAAAAAAAGACCCAACAGTGCCAGAAACTGGTTATTATTATTTTTGTTCTGTTAAAACTTATATGCTTATTTGTGACCCTGTAACAATATTTTGCATCACATGTGGACCCGGTAGACATTATAAATTTTTACATTTACATTTATGCGACGCTTTTATCCAAAGCGACTTACAGTTCATTCAGGCTATACATTTTTTACCAGTATGTGTGTTCCCTGTGAATT